TTTATCGGGGAACGCTCATCTAGACACCATTTTTAAAATAATGCATACTTACATTTTATCAAATCTCCCTGTACAAAAGAAACAACTATTTTTATACCATTGAATAACACGCTACTCAACCTCTTCAGTATTTTCTGATAACCTTTCTAATTCATATCAATAGAAGAAAAACTATGTCCAAACATCCCCTGGGTAAGATGTAAAGCCAACCTGTCCCTCAGCCAGCAGTTCCTCAATGATGGCTGTGATTAGGCTCTTGGTTCCTGTATTGGTATTGTCCTAGGTTACCTTTTTGGGGGTAGTGGGATCACTCGAGTCCAGTGTTTGACTGTGGCAGTCTTTGACTGCCACAATCTTGTATGACACTTTACGAAAATATCTAATTTTCGATTTTTGTCAATGAATCGTCTGATATGGTATACATGTATTCTACTTTTTCATTCACTGCCAAGCATTAATTGAGCCATTTCCTCCATATTTCCTGCAACCTTCTCTTTAATAAATACAGCAAATGTAGACCGTGCCACGAAAGCAAATAAAATAGATGTGTAATATTATAGGCATTATATAGCTGAGCTTCAATGAGTTATTTTCATCCCCTTATGACACTGAATTAGTCATAGTCTATTAAAAGGGAAATATTGTTTTCGTTAAAGGCCAAGTTTGAAATATGGCACAGTGGGAGTCAGATGAAATCATTATGGATAGTCTTTAGACTACATGTAGACAAATTATTTGACAATCTTGGTCATACCTTTTAGGACGGTTCTTAAATCTGCCAAAGAAAACTCTATGACCCTTCATAAAAAAAAAAAATTAGTTACCAAATGTATTAGAAAATCCAGAAATTGTGGAAATAAAACAAATTTTAAGTATAGCAAAAAATGGTTAAACAAAATAAATAACAGAACTCAGAACCTTAAATTCCTCAAATCAACAGATTCCTTCAACTGGGTATTGATATTTCGTATTTCCTTTTTTTTCATTACCCCGGAAATTTATTTATTTATTGAAAATTTTCTGCCTCAACATCTAAAATCATTAGCGGCATATACAAAATATATCAATAGGATGAGGCTCCATGTAAGGAAAAAGTACTGTGGCAAAAAGGTTAAAAATGAATTAACTATTAGGACAAAATATGTTTGATGTCAAAGGTTGTAGAGCACTGTAGGTATTTAATATGGTAGTTAAAAGGGTAGAAAGGGAAGAGCAAACAGTTCAAAGGCCATTCAGGACTGACGCAAAGCCAGCCTTTCCAGCATAGTTCTCAAACTCTAGGATGTGGAAAGAAGAAGGGGATGAAGGAGAGAAGGAAAAAGAAAGGTGAAGAAAAGACCATGCAAAATTATTTGAGGTGATGGCTGATGCCCTAAGTAGGGGTGAACCCTACATTGGACCTCAGTCCCTGTCTCCCGAGCCCCCTCCATGACAATAACAGGCATGGGCTTAGGGGAAATTACCCTAGAAAGAACTAAAAGAGGTAAATAAAACAAGAAACAGGAGCCCTTTGCCAGTTTTCAGATTTTTTTTAATACTAAAAAATAAACTTCAAGAAATCTCATTGTTCAATACCTAGATCTAGAGTGCTTGCAGCAAAACAGATTTTGGCAAAATCAAAAAGAGCAAAATATCCGCTGAAATCCTTGTTGACTGTAAAATAAGCAGATTTGTTTATCTCAAACGTATTATTGACTGGGGTCATTGATCTTTATTGTGTCAACCAAATTTTTGTTCCTACATACTAACAGTACTTGTGTTGGGCAAAAAAATACATGGTTTCTCAGCATTCACTTCAAGCAGCACAGCACCACATGCCAGTCTTGTCTGATGCACAGGCAGGTTTGCTTAGTTTAATATTATATACACTTGATGCGAGTGATTCGTTCATGTTCGTTCTTTGTTATTTGCTGTTCGGTTCATGTAATACTATTTATATTTTGGCCCCATTTTGACATTCTACCAACTATTCTCCATCACAAC